TAGATAGATATGCGGATAGGTAGATAGATAGTTAGATAGAGAGATATAGATATCTGATTTCATATCTCAAGTATTTTGAACATGACGGACTTATCTATAGAAATGTCTTTATCCTTAAATCATACCTGTTGACAGATTTTATGAAAATAGAAACTTTCATAATCTTATTATTTTAAGTTATTTGACGAGAGATTTCAAATTTAACACCGTTTTCAACAAATTCATGCTTTTCTAACACATATAATATCATTATAAGCAAAGACGGATAGTAGCTAGTAGTAGAATCTAGGACTCCGGTTTCGTCCTAATTGGGACTCGTCATTGCATAAGCAAGTGGCTATCATGAATCAGTAGCTAAGTGGATAACGTGATGGCGATTGAAGCGAACTGTACTGGTTTCGAGTCTCAGAGTCAACATCAACACTGAGATGCAGGTACACCCAGTTGACGAGTCGTAAATAGGACGAAACGCGCGTCATGGGTTCGACTGTTAGTCTCTATCCATATTTGCTCATAATGCCTATGAATTAAGGCAATATTGAGGCAATATGCACAGTATGCACATATGGCCAATAAGAGACTGATCGATTGCAGTCCGAAACATTAATGGGAAGATTCAAACAAACAATACCAAGTGAATTTCAATATAATATCAATTTAATACATTCAATAGTAGACTGTTACAAATAAGAATAGAATGAAAATATAAGAAATAACTATATTTAAACAAAGATGGTTAGTGACTAGTTGTGGAATACAGGATGTTAGTTTCGTTCTATTTGGGACTAGTCAGCTGGATGTGTTTGCATCCCAGAGTTCATTGCAGGACTTGAACCCAAACTGTCCGCTTCAAACTGTATCGCGTTATCTACCTAGCTACTGATCAATTGTAGTCCCAAACAACAATTGGAAGATACAAGCAAACAACGCCAAGTGAATTTAATAACTGTATTTATTTGCTTATTCTTACTAATTCACTTCTTCTAAAGATTGTTTATTTTAAGAGTTTTATCTTCCTTCTTTTTGCTGATGGTCGGATACAATCAGCAAAACCCTACCGTAGGAGAGAACAAACGAGGTTCCAGCTGAAGAGGAAATTAGAAAAAGATGTTGGAAGTGGATAGGACATAAATTGAGGAAATCATCAATGTGCATTACAAGGCAAGCCCTAACTTGGAATCCTGACGGGAGGCGGAAAAGTGGGAGACCAAAGAACACATTACGCCGAGGAATAGAAGTAGATATGAGAATAATGAATAACAACTGGAAAGAACAGGAAAGGATTACCGAGTGTAGGGTTAGATGAAGAATGCTGGTGATCGGCCTATGCTCCTCCACGAGGGGTAACAGCCGTAAATAAGTAAGTAAAAGTTCAAATACTGTTCTATCTATTTAGATTTGGACAGCTATTTTATAATACTATAATGAATGAGAACTCAGGGGAGACAACTTATACAGACTTTGTATATAACTGACACATTATTTGACATGCATAATAAAGTATATCAGAAGCTGCTATCACGCTGTACAAGTTAAATCAATCAAAGATTAGTTTCAAAATGTAATGCAATGATAAGAGAGTTGAGTTTTATTTAGAATGTATCAAGTCCAATTTGCTGTGTCCTGTATCATGTTTATGTTGTTTTCTCCATGCATTTCAAATTATTTACTACTTGTGATGAGTATTTTCATATTAGTATTAATTTTACTTCTCCTAACTACTATAGTAAATAATTTTGTGATCATTCTAAATGATCACAGAGTTGTGACTAATGTCCTGCATTCGAATCTCGCGGGTGCGGGATCGTGGATGTGCACTACTGAGGACTCCCATCATAGGACGAAACGGCCGTCCAGTGCTTCTAGGTTTTCTCTGGTGGTCTAGCTTCAGTTGACTCATGATTTCAACTATGAAAATACTGAAATATCCACAAAAACCTCCTCTGATGTCATATTTGTCCAATCTTTAATAATGATCGAATTCCTATCGAGGCTACTAGTATAAATAAGTGAAATTTGAATGGATTACTTCTTGATATCAGGTGGTTGGAGGTAGATGGTCTAAATATCCACTCGATGTTTTGTCTTAGTTGATACTTACAAAAGAAGCATAACGAAGAACTTCTGGGGAATATGATACTCTCCCATGAGACTTGAACTGGCTATATTTTTTGTTATAGTAGGAAATACATTGTCGGAAACTTCAGAGTACACTGAATAGCTTTCACATTTCTTCATGTTATAATTTTGTTGAAATTAAAAATATACCTTGTAGGTATCATACCTAAAGTCAAAGTATATACCTTTGTCTCTTAAAATGATTCAGCTACTTAGTATTTTAACATCCCATGTGTCTGTAATGAAACAGTGACCAAATCAAACTAAACAAAATCACACTCTGATGTCAGTGATCATCATTAGGCCACATTAATCCAATCAAACCAGGAGATGATCATGTATGAAAAAAGATCTATTACTATAAATATTGACCATTTAACATAGATGAAGTCAATTTAGATCTACTTTATGAAGTAAAACTTCCATTATTGTGATCGTAACGTTTTGAATAAACCGGCATTGAGATGGTGGAGAAGATTTATGGCTCAGGTGGATGACTTAATGAAGTTTTGTTCTCTGAGTTGGATGTTTGTTCATGGAGCTTTCATAGTTATTCTTAACGACATCATCAGCACAAACTTTAGAAAGAAGTGAAGTGTTCGAATTTCTCCACATATGACTCAGCTTGTCCCGTAGACCTTAATATTGATTGATTATAGTTGGCTTTAAACCTGCCATTGTGTACTTCTTTATTTTGGTTGTATCTCTCATTGATTTGGTTTTTGGTCCTACATTTGTCTATAATTTTTCTGATAGGCTGATAAATTGGATAGATTTTAATCAAAATTGAGGTCTACAGGATAAGCTGTGAGTCATATGTGGTGAAATCCGAACACTTCACTTCTACCTGAAGTTTTTGTTGATAATGTCGTTCAGAATAACGATGAAAGCTCCACCACCAAACTATCCAACTCAAAGAAAAAAAGCTCCATCATAAACTGGCATCGCATGAAGATACAAATGAATACGCTTAAGGTATTAAAAACAACATTAGTGAATAGATTTTTCTATTTATTTATCTAAACATATAAACATTGGTACAAGGAAGTAACAAATACATATGTGCCACATAAACCATTCAATTTGTCTGAGGTCTGAGATACCGCCCGGGTACCCAAACCGAAGCAGGTGGTTCCTTAGGGGGCCACAACACAAAACTAATTCACAAGACGGAGGAGCGACATTAGGAAATACAATCCCATGGTAGCCGGTGACCAACAGCAGCTTCATATGTCATTTGTTTCCTTAATATCGTGGAGCTTGTGTGAACCACTGGTTTGATATCACGGTTTTCAAACTCACCTAGGTGAATCCTTATCCATCAAGCCAGTTAAATTGTCGGATATTCGCTTTTCATCTTCTCAGTTTTGTGAACAACGCCCCTACCATGAAAAGACATTAAGTAAGACTTCTCTTACAGCAGATGTATACGCGTGCCCGTATGAAAGCATTTGGAGAGTGAGAACTGACCCTTCCCAATCTCAGTCGCACCATTTGGGAGCAGCATTTGGGAGCAAAACGTTTTCTAGGTTTAAAATTAATTAACTTTAAGGAGATAACCAATAATTCTGTAAATTACGACTAGTGAAACCCATTACAAAATATGATAATTCAACTTATATTTCTTTTATGAATTATTGTTATGACTCTCTCAAAATATAAAATAACTCGATTTTAATAAACAAAAACTGTTGGTTATTCTAACTGAGATAAGGTGGTGGTTGGAGGTGGTCAACAGGAAACCCTGGGCCCGGGTTTTGTGCTACAAGGCACTCGTCAGCAAGGTGTACCTGTAATCTTGAGGGAACTGGTGCTCTCTCAATATATAGTGCACACAGTGTCGAGCCACCTAGACTAGTGACCACATTGCAACTTGATCAATAGTATTCGATCAACACTAAGAAGGACTTGACACGCATGACATTGATCACCACCCAGTGATCAATCAATTGTGGTTATTCTAACTATCAATCAACTATCTTCTTTGAGTTGTCTTTTATTAACTCCATTAATCTTTTATTCCTGTCGTTATTCCCATTGCTTTCTGTTCACCTCATTTCTTCTACTGCCAGTAAGATTTCTACTTTCGATTCTTGATACATACTACTTATATCAGTTCGAATCTCATGAGTGCGGGATCGTGGATACGCACTGCTGGGGAGTCCCATTACTTCCAGGTTTTTCATGGTGGTCTAGCTTCAATTGACTCATGATTTCAAATATGAAAATACAAAATTCTCTACAAAACCCCTTCTGATCTATAATCATATGGTCACTAGTGACTGACTTCAAGAGATATTTCCTGGAGTTCTAGTGGGAAGCAGTGACCAGTGGAGTTCTACCAAGTCTGTTGTAGAGATATTAACTCACTGAAGACAATTAATGAACGGTTTCTCAATTTCGTGTATTGGTTGAAGTTAGACATTAACACCGTTGGATGCCGGTCAGCTCAGTGGTCTATCGGTTAAGTGCTCCGGCGCGAGACTAGTAGGTCCTGGGTTCAAATCTCGCGAGTACGGGATCGTTTGAATCTTACGTGATGGATCGTGGATGCGCACTGCTGAGGAGTCCCATAATAGGACGAAACAGTCATTCAGTGCTTCCAGGTTTTCCATAGTGGTCTAGCTTCAATTGACTTATGATTTCAACTATGAAAATATTATATCAGTTTGTTTAAGTAACATACACCACAATTCTAATACTACTAAAATGCTTTAAAATGAGAATGAGAAACTAAACTGTGACTTTCAAATGTTTATTTTAACAGTTACCATTGGAAACAAAAGAGTAAAGATTCAACATGATTAATTATAAGGTTATGTAATTTTTAAAGATGATTTAAATAAATAATGTTCTTCTTGAAGAGAGTTTTGTATAGTGGACTGGCGGTAAAACGCTCCATACTGTGTAGGGCATTGCAGCTTACGATTGAAGCATTTGTAATTCGTTGTACTAGAAAACCCTTTAAACATTTCGTTGAATGTACAGGTACGTTGGTAGTTTAATCATATTCAGTTGAATTGATTAGTGTTGGTGAATTCGACTGGAATTTTCTTCATCACTTGCTCCTCGACCACTATCTGAATGTTGTTCTTCACTAGCGATTGAAGTAATAATATTTTGTACATTACAGTCTATGTTTCTTTTATTCGCCGACTTGGGATTCTTTAAACTGGGTGTATTAGGATCCAATAGTATCACCGTATTGGACATAGAAGTGGGATTCAATAAAACAGATCTATGATGTTGTACATAATTGGATAGAGAAATAGGTAGGGTATTTGTACACTGAAGTAAAATAAGATCAGGTTTCACCGTAGAATTATTCAAAGATGCTAATGAAACTGATGGAAATGACATTTTAGATGAATCGCATAGTTGAGTATTATGATTTAACTGTTGTGGTAAATGTAAAGGACATCTCAAATGTTTGTCATTGAAGGATGTATTTGATAACATTTGCTGACAGTCATTTTGTGGGAATTCTAAAATGAATGAGTTCCATTCAGGTTGTTGAAACTGGTAATTAAAAGAAAAGTAAATATTTAACTGTATTTCTTTATATGAAGATGATTTGTATTACAGAGTGATTGATATAAACTAGAAAACTAATGAAAACTATAGAGCACTGAGTAACTGTTTGATTGTAGTTTATGACATTTTTTAATAGTGCTAATGCACAACGTCCTGTAGCTCTTCTAGGGCTACTGTCGATCCCGATTCATGGTAAAGGAGGAGGATTGAGCATTGTGTCAGCAATCCCATCGCATAGAAAAGAATCTTGCTAAAAAAACGCCAATCAGATAAAACAAATTAAACTAATTAAACTCTGTCATTTGAGTTCAAGGAAGAATTATGACTCCTCAATATGAAAGCCGAGATTCTTCGGAAGTCACCAGGCTGATGTCACTTTTAGCAACCACAAAAACAATTAACATAAGTACATGGAACATCAGCACAATGCGGGAGACCGGAAATACCAGTCAAATAGCAACGGAAATCAGAAACTGCAACTTGATGTTTCTTGGAATCAGCGAAACCCATTGGACTTAAGCTGGACAGCAGAGGCTAGATACGGGAGTAATGTTGCTGTATCCTGATCACAAGAGGAAAATGTTCCACACACTTGTGGAGTTGCTCTGATGCTGTCCAAAGAAGCACGAAAAGCAATTATTCGTTGGGAATCTCATGGATCCAGGATCATCAAGGCATCCTGCAATACAAAGGAGGGGATCACATTGAATGTTATCTAATGTTATAACCCACCAATGATAGCAATAGAAACGAGGCTGCAATAGATCATAAAGAAGTCCTCAGGAAATGATGTGACCATCCTGATGGGATATCTAAACGCCAAAGTCGGAATAGATAACACTTTATATCTTATCTTATCTTTATATCCAAAGATAACGTGGGACGATATGGAATGAGAGAACGTAACGAAAATAGTGACAGATTTGCAAATTTATATACATTCAACAAAAATTTAATAGTCAACCTATGCACTTCAGAAAGGGTAACAGGTGGTAAGTATGTAAGTGCATTACTCTTAGTTTTGTCAATTTTGTTGATATTATTTCCAAATAAAAAACTCAATTTTTAAAAATTCATACGTAAAATGAAAATTTTGAATTGATTATTTGATTTCACTTGGTGTTGTTTACATGTATCTCCCCATTGTTATTTAGGACTGCAATTGATCAGTCTCTTATCGGCAAATGCGCAAACTGTGCGTATTACATCGATATTGCTTTATTTCACAAGCATTACAAGCAAAGATGGATAGTAGCTAGCAGTGGAATCCAGAACGCGCTCCACTTCGTCCTATTTGAGACTCGTCAACTGGATGTACCTGCATCTCAGAGTTGATGTTCACTCTGAGACACAAACCCAATACCATTCGCTTCAAACGCCATCACGTTATCCACTTATCTACTGACGTCTGATAGCCACTTGTGAATTTGTGAATTAAGGCGATATCGAGGCAATACGCACAGTATGCACATATGCCAATAAGAAACTGATCAATCGCAGTCCTAAATAACAAAAGGAAGATACAAGTAAATAAGACCAAGTGAATTTAAACTTTATGCAATTGCACAAGCAAGTGGCTATCAGGACTCAGTAGCTAAGTGGATAATATGATGGCGTTTGAAGCGAGTGGTACTAGGTTCGAGTCCCAGACTGAACATCAACTCTGAGATGCAGCTATATCCAGCTGACGAGTCCCAAATAGGATGAAGTGGCTCGCATCCTGGATTCCACTGTTAGACACCATTCATCTTTACTTATAAAGCTTGTGATTATCTGATTATTGATCATTATTAACTTACTGTATTTTTAATTATATTTAATGGTAATAAAACCCTTTCAACATATACTGGTTGAATTTCATTATTCATAATTAATCCTTGTTCATCAGCATTCATATTCATTACACATGTAGATTGATCATTAGTGTTAGTACCAATACAAAATGTATCTGTTTCAACAAAACCATAATAAGGTATAGAATCATTCTTTATACAATCATTAACAATAAATAACTTCTTATAATGATCTTGATCATGATTTTGATCTTGATTATAAATAGTATATGATGAAATATTATCAAATGAATGGTCTATATTTCCTTCTGATGTATAACCACTAAGGGGATCAAATGGTTGTTGTCGTCGTCGTTTTTGACATTGTTGATTATACCAATGAAACTTGTAAACATTATTGATTGATTCTATATGATCAGTTTTTGTATTATTAGCATTATGATTGAAGATTGTTCCATCAAGTTCTTTTGTATGGAGATCACTATTATTATTATTATTATTATTATTATTATTATTATTATTATTATTCTGATATTTATGTTCATTACATGTTCTTTTACAAGACCATTTCGTTGAATACTTCGCCTGGATACTTCGACAAGGTTTTATCATACATAGAATAATACTAATTAATATAGTAGCTAGAAATGTTGACATTCCAATGAATAGTATAACTATAAAGATTTTATAAGATTCTATTATGGCATTTTGTTTTGTATTATGTTGTTGTATAATGTTTGAAAGTAACCAATTACCACGAGATGGAGTATCTTCAATAATTAATTCAATGATCTTGATGAATATAGAGAGAATTGATTAAACCAGAAAATAAAAAAATAAAAAATATCAGAAGGGGTTTTTATGGAGATTTAATATTTTCATAGTTGAGAGCGTGAGTCAATTGAAGCTAGAGCCAGGACGAGACTGGTAGGTCCTGAATTGGAATCTCGCGAGGCGATGTTGTGGATGCGCACTGCTGAGAAGTCCCACAATAGAACGAAACGGCCGACCAGTGCTTTCAGGTTTTCCCTGGTGGTCTAGCTTCAATTGACTTAAGCTTTCAACTATGAAAATAATAATAATTTGTTATATATTGGTTATTTATGATTTATAACATGATCATAATCAATGACTGATTTTCAACGGAATCACTTTTTAAAAATTATCTTTAACTTTTCATGTATTCAGCAAAGATGGTGGATAGTGGCTAGTAAAGGAATCCAGAACGCGCGCAACTTCGTCCTATTTGAGACTCGTCAGCCGGATATACCTGCATTTCAGAGTTGATGTTCACTCTGTGATTCGTAACCAGTATCGTCCACTTCAGACGCTATCGCATTATCGCATTAACCAACAAGTGAATGATCAATTGCAGCCCTAAATAACAATTGGTAGACACAAGTAAATAACATCAAGTGAATTTAAACTTCATCCCATTGCACAAGAAATTAGTTAAGTGGATAACGCGATAGCGTTTGAAGCGAATGGTACTAGGTTCAAGTCCCAGAGTGAACATCTACTCTCAGATGCATGTATATTCAGCTGAGTCCCAAACAGGACGAAGTGACGCGAGTCTGGGATTCCACTACTAGTTATTATCCATCTTTGCTTATAATCCTTGTGTTTTCAGACAACATTGAGGCAGTCTGCACAGTCTGCACATATAATTATATAAAAAACAATTATGGATTGTGTAAATAATCAACTCGTTGATCAATACATTAAGTAGTATATATTCAGCCTTTTGAACTAATTTCTAATCAGTCTTTCTTTAGATAAGTTTACTGTGATTGAAGATAAAGAAATTACCCTTTAGTTACATGTTTCAATACATTTGAATGATTGCCAGAAGTTGATTTCACTACTTGATATACAGAAATGATCAAATTGAGATATTGAGTGTCAACAATGTAGTAAATTACCTTTATATTTGTTATGAAAGTTAGTAGATAACTTCACTTGAAGAGATTAGTTATAGATTGGTGCCTTAGTACAAACATCAGTACTACTACTCAGTATATAGCAGCTCACATACAATTGAGTTTGTTCATACTTAATTTGGTTAAGCCCTTTTGTTAACTTATTTAACGGACAGAGTCATTCCTAAGATAACAACCTATGTGCACTATTGTACCTTTATTATTTATGCTTGAGCATTGCTTACTGCTTACGCATATATTCATTCTGCTAGCCTTACTATCAGTCGCCTAATTGATTCAGTGATTCATTCATTTCACTATGTATATATATGTACATTTCAATTCTATTCACTGACTCGCTTGCTCGCTGACTCAACTCATACACTCGTTCATTGACTCGATCACACACTTGCTTTACGGCAGTACTCTTTCATGTTTATTTAATGTGTCTGTAATTTTGTATATCTGTGCGTGATTCCATAATTAACGCAATCAACAATTCGTATTCACCTTCTGATTTACACACCGTTGAGGCGTTATCAAGTAACGGTCATCAGGACGAACAATATGCAAAGATTAAGAATAATATCGAATACTGACCACTACCAGTAACATCCGACTGAAGGGATAAAAACAGGACGTAACTGGTATCTACTACTAACCAATGGTCAAATATTTAAAAAAATGATAATTATTATTGATTTCTCAAATATATCCAAGTGTACGTTAGCAGTTGGATTAGTTAGCTCTCGAAGATATATTAAAGAAAACACTGATGGGTTAAATGGACAAAATATTTTGATCTCATTAGGTTTTCTTGATTTAAGATTGGATCCAACTTCTAGTAAGTTTCTGAATTCCGAAGTTTTCAAATATGGTAGCTGTCTTTATAACTAATATGCTTCATAATTGATTGATAAATGTTCGATACATTTGTAACCACTGTATGTCTACGCAAAGCATACTAGAAAAAAAGATTATCGTAACTCTTTCACAGTCAATTTCGATTATGGTGAATTTTGGTTAAGCCCTTTTTGTATTAGCTTAGTTAACAGACAACGTTATTCGAACGGTAACAATTTGGATATTTCTTTGTACTATAATGATCATTATCTTGTCTGTATAGACGTGTACGCTTGATCACATGTGACAGCCTACACGCATCTCTCTCTAGCTAAAGTGTTAATAGCCTAAATATCGCTCAACGAATCATTCTCTTCTCCATGTATGTATGTGCTCAAATCCTAATATTAACCTTTGCATTTCCTATCTGAGCCTTGATTCGATTTGACTATAAATTTGCCTCTGTATTCGCTTGTATACAATATTCATTTTTCTTCTTCAAAATGCGCTTGATATGCCTATGACCTTGTTGTCTGTGCTATCCGCTAATAAACTGCAGTGGCCGCTTGTTACTGCCATCTGGTTTGAAACACTGTTGGGATTTATATAATATCGGTTACCAAGGCGATTGATTAACGAAGCTAAGCCATTACAAATTATTGATGGACTGACTCCAAGAGGCATTTCCTGGAGTTTTAGTGAGAAGCAGTGATCACTGAAGTTCAACCAGGTCTGTTATGAGATAGTAACTCACTGAAAACAATGGTGGACGGTTTCTCAATTTTGTGGATTGGTTGAAGTTGGACATTAACACTGTTGGATGCCGGCTCAGTAGTCGAGAGGTTAAACGTTCGTACGCGAGACCGATAGGTCCTTGGTTGGAATCTCGAGAGGTGGGAGAGTGGATACGCACTGCTGAGGAGTTCCACACTAAGACGAAACGGCCTTCCAGTGCTTCCAGGTTTTCCATGGTGGTTTAACTTCAAGTGACTCATAAATTCAAATTACTAAAATCTCCACAAACACCCCCTTCTGATAATTATATATATGATTTCTATTTGGTTTTTATGAATGTACGCATTTATATTTAGATATATGGTCATTCTATTAAATAATATCAACGTTTTAAGGTAGTAAATGAATTTAAAAACGAAAACATTGAACAAATTTTCAATAATAAGCAAACTATAAACTTTAAAACTCCGCCTGTAGCACCTCTGGGGGCTACTGCCGGTCTCAAACCCAGATAAAGGTGAAGGGTTGGGCATAGGGTTAGCGACCCCATGACGTAGAAAACTAACTTGCTAAAAAAACGCTTACTTTTTCAGATCTCTGTACAGGTATTCCACTATCTTTTACAATGACTGTTATTTTATAATTACCAATTTCATTATGATCTAAACTTCTATTCAATATCACTTGTCCATTTGATGTATTCATTTTCAATGCATCCAATATAGTTTCAGCCTTATTTCTTGAATATTCGAGTGTTATATTATATTGTAATAATGAATTCATACCTTCATCTAGATCAAATGCTTTAACAATGAATATACAATAACCAGGTTTTTCATTGATAGATAAATGAATTGAAGTGATATGTGATATATTCCATTGTTCATTAATATAAGGATCCATAATAGTTGAATTCATTGTAGATAATGATTGATTCATAGATGGTTTATTTATATCTTGTATGAACATAAATGAGAAAAGTAAAAAAAAGAAAAGAAAAAGAAAAAAGGGGAATAGACAATATGTTGGGAACAATGATAAGATGTTGAGATAAGATGGTGGTTGGAGGTGGTCAACAGTAAACCCTGAACCCGTGTTTCGTGCTACTTGGCACTCGTCAGCAAGGTGTACCTGTAATCTTGAGGGAACTGGTGCTCCCTGACGGATTCGATCCCGTGTCACTTAGCTTCACAATCAGAGACGTTACCACTGAGTTACTCGGGCCGCGACCGACCTCCTGTAGGACTGAGATGTAATTACAATTGATTGATCATTGGGTGGTAGTCAATGTCATGTGTGTCAAGTCCTTCTTAGTGCTGATCGAATGCTATCGATGTATGTAGGGATAATAACAATAATATATATATATATATATATATATATATATATATATATATATGATTGAAATCATAGGTCCATTGAAGCTAGATCACCATGGAAAACCTGGAAACACTGGACGGTCATTTCGTCTTAGTTAGGAGATATTAACTCACTGAAGACAATGTTGAATGGTTGATCAATTTTGTGGATTGGTTGAGTGCCGGCTCAGTGGTTTATCGGTTAACTGATCTGGCGCGAGACTGGTAGGTCCTGAGTTCGAATCTCGCGAGGCGAGATTGTTAATGCGCACTGTTGAGGAGTCCCACAATAGGACGAGAAGGCCGTCCAATGCTTCCAGGTTTTCCCTGGTGGTCTGGTTTCAATGGACTCATTATTTCAACTATCTAAAATTACTAAAATCTTCACAAAACCCCCTTCTGATATATGTATGGCATAAATTTTCCACATAAACAATAATCATTTTAAAGAAACCAAATACAATTACTGTATGTATATTACATAGAAAATAACATTTATAAAATGGTATACCTAACAGAATATTAGTTCATATATGGTCAATAAATCACACTATCAGCAGTCAACTTGAATTCAAATGCAAATCCTGAAAAAACCACTTATCATGAACAAAACCAGCTATATCCCCTGAAGATTTATGAATGGTAACTTCTGAGAATTATTTATGGACCAATATGATATGTATATTTCCTATTATATAATTTATAAGTAACCTAACTATTCATATTCATGTTCCTTTTATTGTAGGCTTTGTTTTGATCTATAAACTATTACTATACGATTTACCATGCCTGAGTTTTACCAAGTCAATTAATTACTGTTCCCCCTATTAACAGCCACACTTGGCCAAATCTTGTACAAATTTTGTTTCCTATTATATGGTACAATGTGGTCAGTTTATTTGATATATAAACCCAATATGTTTGAGAATAATGATTCATATTGTAGAGGCTGTTATTGATGTTCTGGACTTAAGTGGTTGGGTTAGGCGGATATCAGGACCGACATGTACTCAAGACTGCTCATACGGTTTTCGTGTATTATTGATCTGATTGATAATATGTTGATCTATGATTGGCGGTATCTTCACTTCATATATTTATAGCAACTCAGATACAATTGAGTTTGTTTACATCTAATTCAGCTAAGCCCTTTTGTTAACTTATTTAATGGACAGTCATTCATACAATAAAAACCTATCTATACCATTGTGCTTTTATTATATACGCTTGAACATTGCCTACTGCCTACGCATGTATTCATTCTGCTAGCATTATTATTAATCGCTTATTTGATCCGATGATTCATGCTTTTCCACTTATATATATACATTTTAATCGTGTTTACTACCTTGCCCTGCTTGCTCTCTGCTCTGCATTACGCTACACCGTACTATACACGCTTACTCATTCATTCGGCTCTACGGCACTGCTTTTTCATGCTTGCTTGACGTACCTGTAATATTGGATAACTGTGTGTGGTTCAGTTATAAACGCGATCAACCCTTCTTATTCGTCTTCTGATTTATGCATTGTTAGGACGTTGTCGAGTAACGGTTATCAAGACGAACAATATATGAAGCTTAGGGATAGTAGCGAATATCGACCACCACATATTAAACGAGGCAAGCACACATAAGTTACAACAATTATTATTATTATTATTATTATTATTATTATTATTATTGGCTTTATTCAATATTATATTTTTGGTACAATATAGAATTCTTAGCACAATGTATTTTAAAAAGTTTCCTTCTCTTATTTATTTATCAATCCTGACGATAAATATTAAGTGATCGCCAGTTAGATATTACCAATTCAGGAATTAACATTTAAATAATATATATTTTTTCGATACATGATCCCCAAAATACCCTGGTACAAGCGAGAGTAGGAATAGTCAGCTCTCCCTTTCCAAATGCTCTCATATGGTGGGGCGTTTACATTTAATGTAAGAGAAGTTTTACTTAATGCCTTCTCGCAGTGAAGGTGTTGTTCAAGAAATTGAGAGGATGAAATGAGAACTTTTGATTCTTTAGCTGGGTTGGTGGATACGGAAGATCTACCTGGGGGAAATTGAAAACTACTATTCCAAACTAATGATTCACATAGGCTCCAGGATCCTAAGGAAACAAAGGCGAGACTAAAGAACATGGACGAGCCAATCAGAAGCTTTCGCGGGTTTTCAGGGTCACGGCGCTAAGTTCGGCACCTGACGCTTACGTACGGTCGGTTTACAACGGATTTTAAAGAAAAAATGATAATTAAGCGTCTACAGGATTAGTTATCATAAGATTTTGGCGCAAAATTCAATTATACATTTGAATAGAGTTGTGGCATTACAGCTGATGTCAGTTCGTGATGAAAACCCTAAGTAAAATTCATAACCTTAACTATGAACTGTAAATCATAATTTGAATTCTTCACACGGGTTTATAACCCTCATTTAGTCTTAGTTATTACGTTGACACTCTCAGATTCACTCTAGCGTCGCTCAAATGCCGTCCATAATTTATAGTCTCATCTTTAACCCTAAACCGTAACCCTAAAACTTAACCCTAATCCTAAACCCTGAACCATACCAACATACCGACAACACTGAGACTATGTGGTTGAGGCTGAAAGAATTTTCGGGACTTTATCATGGTTCCAGAGGTCGACTACTATGGAGCCACAAGGATGAGCTCCTGTGCCGTATGCACTATGATTTTATAACTTCTGAACCTATATCTGACCTTGATAAGTTTTTGATTCATGTAAAAGAACAGTATCCCCTTTAATTTTTGAGTTTTGTATAATATATTTTTACTGTATGATAACTGTCTTCTGATTGGCTAATATTTCTCAAGGTCATTTAAGATTCGTTCAAAGGTCGTCCATGTTCTTTAGTCTCGCCGGAAACAAATGGTGTATGAACCTATTGTTGGATTGCATTTCCTTATGTTGCTCCTCTGTCTTGTGGATAGTGTTCGTGATGTGGCCATCTGAGAAACTACTTGGTTCGGTTTGGGCACCCAGGCCTCACACAAATCGAATGATTTATGTGACGCATATGTATTTGTTACTTCCTTGCACCAATGTTTATGTGCTTAAATAATCATAGTAATGATAATACACTTGATATTGTTTGTTTGAATCTTCCCATTGATTTTTAGGACTGCGATTGATCATTCTCTTATCGGCATATGTGCATACTGTGCGGACTGCCTCGATATATCCTTAATTCACAAGCATTACAAGCAAAGATGGATAGTAGCTAGTAGTGGAATCCAGAACGCGCTCCACTTCGTCCTATTTGAGACTCGTCAACTGGATGTACCTGCATCTCGGTGTTGATGTTCACTCTGCAACACAAACCCAGTACCATTCGCTTCAAACGCCATCACGTTATCCACTTAGCTACTGAGTCCTGATAGCGACTTGCTTGTGTAATCTCAGACTTAACTGTTGCTTCGCTCCCATCCTAATCACTCACTGTTCTCGTTCTTTTCTTTTAGATTTTCTCAACCTTCTACCTGCGTGCATTTCAATTTTGATTGGTAGTACATATCATTATGCCAATGCATATATTCATTTTTACTCTCATGGATTTTCCTCTATATTGTATGTTCCAAGTATATTTTTTCCAGAACATTTCCTAACTGACTCTTCATACCACCATTGAATAATGAAGTTAGCAGCAGTATGATATACTTACTTAAATGGATACTATTAAGATGGGATAAAAAGGTGAAATCAAATTTTAAGTCATTATGACTCTTGGTCAAACACTGCTTCCATTTTTTCAATTCAATATGATAATTACTCAGTATAGTAACTGTTTTGTTTGACAATAAGATATTTTATTCGTTATAACATTCATTAATTTGAGTAGGATGTTTATTCAAGAGACGATATTTTTGCATTAAATTAACATAAACTATGCTTAGTCTGATGGGGAGAATGTGATTTTATTGTGACTTCAAGCACTTTTCATTTGTGTGATTATATTCTAATCAGGTGTTTTGTGGAGATTTCAGTATTTTCATAGTTGAAATCGTGAGTTAATTGAAGCTAGACCACCATGGAAAACCTGGAGGCACTGGACGGTCGTTTCATTTTACTATGGGACTCCTCAACAGTGCGCATCCATGATCTCACCTCGTGAGATTCCAACCCAGGACCTACCAGTCTATCGGTTAAGTGCGCTGGTGCGAGACTGGTAGGTTCTGGGTTCGAATCTCGCGAGGCGGAATCGTGGATGTTCATTGCTGAGGAGTCCCATAATAGGACGAAATGGCCGCCCAGTGTTTCCAGGTTTTCCATGGTGGTCTAGCTTTAATTGATTCATGCTTTCTACTATGAAAAATAACGAATTAATATTAAGTTCAAGAAGCAACAAGAACAAACAAAAAGGAACTGATCAATAAATCAATAATCAATAAATTTTGGTCAATCAACTAACCATAATACTCTCCCTCAATTCCAATAAAATAAGGTTTGTTATCATTTAAATCAAGTATACGTATACAAATTGTATCTATTGTAGAATAAACTTTATCTTGACCATTATCGGATGCAATCACTTCAAAACAATAATGAGACTAATTCCAAAGTAAAGAATAGAAAAAAAAGTAGATGTAATCAGAACAAGATTATATTTGGTCATATAATAAATAATATGGATAGTAATCAGAATTGGTTTATTTCAGAAAAGTATAACATTGTAGTGCCGTGCTTCAGTTGCTGATACCTTGACGTGGTGGTCGGGCTCGCCTATCGTGATGAACCAATCGAGCTATACTGGCTGGAACAATCGTTCCTCAAGGTCCTACCATGCCAGAAAAGTCGGTTGAAGAGCGGTAAGACTAAAAGCAGCAATCATAAGGTCCGGAGACGAAGTCCTAATGCTGACTGTACAGAGGTGTGACAGCAGTAAGGTGTTTCCTTCAGACAACCAACATAACAGCGATGCTGCCTTCCCACAATGAGGGGTAGGGTTATTTATTTATTTATTTAAACACATATATATTGGTATAAAAGGGCACCAGATACATATGGTTAGAAAAGGTCGACCCCAAAAATGCACACCTCGCCTTATCCCACGTATATCCGTCTCCGACGGTAAGGTCCCACAAGTACTGAGCTGACACAAAAACTACCCACAAAATGGTCGTGTGTGGCCGACCTCAAGCTGTTGTCATTTGGGCAATGTGGTCACGCTCTCAGGTCATTAAGACCACTTCTAATCCAGTTTGTTTTTCAGGTACCTCTAGAAGATCCCTTCCACGGTGTGGGTAATCGGTAATTGATAATTGCTCTCATATCTCGAACAGCACTCAAGATCACTGTGCCATGCTTTGCTAATCGTTCACCTCGACAACCGTTATAATACAAATCTTAACGGTGTATAAAATCAGAAGGCAAAGAGAAGCGACAGCTACAGTTTTATTGACAAATGATGCAGTCCAGAAAGTTATAAGCACATGGTTAAATATTAGCGAGCGAAACTTGAATGACACGCATTGAAGATGGCGGGTAAGCCAACTCAGTTTAATCAAGCGTTAATCAATATTTATAGTCAGACCAAAATAAGTATGTGTGATGAATAAGATAAAAAGTGTACACACACCTACGTTCATATAAAAAATAGTGGGGGTTTGTTATATCGTATGGTCTCGTAATATATATGAACGTGCAATTAAAGAGGAGTGGATTTTACTGATCGGATGCAAATGATACTTGAAATACGTACGAGCAGTCTTGGGTGCTATTCGGTCCTTCCTATCTGCCTAGCCCAGCCCGTTAAGTCCAGAACACAAATAACAGCCTCGGAAATACGAATCATTATTTACAAACACACTGGGTTTTTATACAAACCAAAGTAATCAATAACTGATTATAACTCAAGAATCGTATGATCAGAAATCAAAGATCAAAATAAAGCTAATGATAAGAGAAAACACGAATATGAATAATTTAGTTACGTAACAACTGTACAATAAGAAATAGGCATAATACATTGGTCGATAATAGACCTCAGATTTACGATTCATAATTCACCAGGGGATATAACACCTCCCCTTTTTGAGAAATCCGGAGTTGACATCCGGATTTTTAATTTCTCGAATTCATCCTCCCCCACGAAAGACTGTTGGATCCTCATGTACCCATGTTACCATTATTGTGACATTATTTAAAACATATTCGTCGTATTTAACAGAAAATCCACCAGAACTGATTATATCGTGAGGATCGACGACATTCGATTTGAGGTCACCGGCGTCTGATTCTTTTGAAACACTTTCCTTGAATTTACTCGGAACCTCATTAGTAGATAATGAATCATTAGGATAATCAGTATCTATGAAATTTGTATTGGATTCTTGATTATCATTTAATGCATCCGATATTTTTCTCCCATTTTTATAAGAGATTTGAACTGGAACATATGAATCAGTAAAATAATCGGGATCTGGCAGAACAATTAGATAATCTTGATCATTAGATTCATAAAAAAACTTTTTTGCACCATGACTAGTTTGATTTGGCGCCATTGTATTCAATATACTGCCCGATTTGTTCCCCGTTTCTTCGTGGGCGGGTACTACAGTAATTCCATGAGCATTTAGCAAAACATTGTCTTTCTGTAAACAGGTTGATCCACTGTTTGCACGTCCGTTTTCGTGGTTAATAGGACTTGGACCGTGTATAGGGCATGTCTCTGAAACAGGCAGCACCGGACTACTGGGCTGATCATGTAGGACTGTTACTGCTGCATCTAAATTACTGTTTTTCGTGGATTCATAGAGGCTTTCCTCTGCATATTCATTTGTTCTGTAATCGACTTCCAGTTCTGTACGCAATTTAGAAATCAATGCGTCAACTTCCGTTGCACCCCCAAAGCATGGGTGATTCAGCAGCGTCGCGTGTAACTTGTCAATGAAATCCAACTGACTCTTTTTAAAACGCTGCTCTTGTCTCTGAATTAGCAACTGAAATTGATCGGAAGTTAGAGCCATTTTTTTTAACCTGTCGTCAGTTGTTATAACGTATGGGTTTGTGTTATATATGAATGTGCAATTAGTAGAGGAGTGGATTTTACTGATCGGATGCAAATGATACTTGAAATACGTACGAGCAGTCTTGGGTGCTATTCGGTCCTTCCTATCTGCCTAGCCCAGCCTGTTAAGTCCAGAACACAAATAACAGCCTCGGAAATACGAATCATTATTTACAAACACACTGGGTTTTTATACAAACCAAAGTAATCAATAACTGATTATAACTCAAGAATCGTATGATCAGAAATCAAAGATCAAAATAAAGCTAATGATAAGAGAAAACACGAATATGAATAATTTAGTTACGTAACAACTGTACAATAAGAAATAGGCATAATACATTGGTCGATAATAGACCTCAGATTTACGATTCATAATTCACCAGGGGATATAACAGGGTTAATTAGTGAATAATTAACAAGGTGAAAACTTTACTCAAGATGAATAGGTAAATTGGCTTGTCCAGAAGTTAGAATAAGGCATATGGGATTAACATATCAACCGACACTACAACATATATGATAGACTTTAGGTTACAGTTATAGTTTTTAAATAGCCAACTTCTTAAGTAAACATTTATGGCACATCATTATGTTGCAGTATTATCATTCAAGGTGTATGAAAGCAGTTGATTGGAAACTCTTGAAGCAAAAAAAGTGTTTAATTATTGATGATATTGAATTTTTATAGTTGAGATCATGAGTCAGTTGAAGCTAGACCACCTAGGAAAACTGGGAAGCACTGGACGGCAGTTTTGTTCTGTTGTGGGACTTCTCAGTAGTGCGCATCCGTGATCCCACCTCGGGAGATTCAAACTCAGGACCTACCAGTCTCGCGCCACTGAGCCGGCATCCGATGGTGTTAATGTCTAACTTTAACCAATCCACAAAATTGAGCAGCCGTTCACCAATTGTCTTCAGTGAGTTACTATCTCACAACAGACCTGGTTCAACTCCACTGGTTACTGCTTCTCACCACAACTTCAGGAAATACCTCTTGAAGCCAGTGGAGTTGAACCACGTCTGTTGTGAGATAGTAACTCACTGAAGACAATTAGTGAATGGTTTCTCAATTTCGTGTATTGGTTGAAGTTAGACATTAACATCATCGGATGTCGTCTCAGTGGTCTATCGATTAAGTGCTTTGGCGCGAGACAGGTAGGTCCTGGGTTCGAATCTCGTGAGTTGGGATCGTGGATGCACATTGCTCAGAAGTCCCACAATAGCACGAAATGGCCGTCCAATGCTTCCAGGTTTTCCATTATGGTCTAGCTTCAATTGACTTATAATCACAACTATATAAATACTGAAATCTCCACAAAATACTCCTTTTAATATTGAATTTAAAAGTAAATTAAAGTGAATCACTTAGACGTGCTAACTAACAGTTAGTTTAATGATGTTCAAAACAGATATGCTTGTTTGTAAATATTTATCTAGTAAAGTTTTGATACAATCCTGCTTAGATTTAGTATTTTATGATTTTAATTTCATTCTCAATCAATTAAGTATTATGAATGATTCAAAATGATATACTTTCTTTTAACGTAACAAGAAGACAAAGAACTATTCCATCATGAATACCTTTAATTCAAAGTTATTCGCAAAGAAAAGTACATGATTTCAATAGGCTTAATAAGAGAAAAGAAGTCTCCGAATAAATTATTTTTATCTAAAAATATCAAAAGATTTTGGCAGACATACTGTATACAATGAACAATAAAGATATTTTATGCATGTACGATGTATAGGTTACACATTAAGAAAAAAGTTCCTGATATGGTCCAAAGTTTTTTAAAATCTATATTTAATATCTAACTTTAATCAATCCACGAAATTGAGCAACCGTCTACCATTGTCTTCAGTGAAATATTATCTCACAACAGATCCGGTTGAACTCCACTGGTCACTGCTTCTCATTAGAACTCCAGGAAATACCTCTTGAAGCCGATCACTAGTGAACATATGTTTATTATCAGATGAGGTTCTGTGGAGATTTTATTATTTTATGATTGAATTCATGAGTCAATTGAAGCTAGACCATCATGGGAAACCTGGAAGCATTGGACGGCCGTTTCGTACCAGTGCGGGACTCCTCAACAGTGCGCATCCACGATCTCACCTTGCGATACTCGAACCAAAGACCTATCAGTAGTGAGATAGTAACTCAGTGTAAAACAACGGTGGACGGTTGCTAAATTTCATGGATTATTTGAAGTTAGACATTGACACAGTTGGATGTCGGTCAATTCAGTGGTCTGGATGTTAAGCATTGGCGTGTGAGAATGATAGGTCCTGAGTTCGAAACTCTCGAGTTGGGATCGTGAATACGCACTGCTGAGAAGTCTCACAACAAGACAAAATGGTCATTCAGGGCTTCCAGGTATTTCATGGTGGTCCAAATTCAATTGACTAATGATTTCAACTATCTAAAATTACTAAAATCTCCAAATAACCCGGTTCCCATATTTGATACTAATATTCCTTTACACAAAATGTCTATTCAGTGCTATAACCATAAGTCTAGATTAATTATTCAGAAGAATGATTAAGTTTATAGAAAACATAATTATAGTACACCTTTTTTATTCACTCTGGAAGGTGTACACGAATGTAAATTCCAAAAGTATCGGCTGATATACAAGAGAATTTGGGCGGATAAATACGAAAAGATTTGACTAGTCTAACTATTTCTGAAACTAATTTCAAAGTTTGTAGTGTAATTACTGAAAAAACAAATTAGCTTCCAATAAGTTTTCCAATTATCATAACATGTTTAGTCAAGTGTATTGGTCTAAAAAAAATTACCTCAGTTAAACAAAATCTTACTTACAGCAGAGATGGATGGTGGCTAGGAGTGGAATCCAGGACCTGTGTTTCGTCCTATTTGTAAACCGTCCATCTTTGCTTATAATATTTATAAATTAAGACAAAGTACAAGTATTTATAAACAGTTGTCTACACAAAATACTCAACATTTACTGGCTGGATATTATCAGCAACAGCCTTCTGTGGAAGAGGACAAACCAGCTTCCATCTGAAGAGGAAATTAGGAAAAGAAGTTGGAAGTGGATCGGACATACATTGAGGAAATCATCAAACTGCATCATCAGGCAAGCGCTAACTTGGAATGGTGAAGGGAAACGGAAAAAAGGGAAGTCCAAAGAACACATTACTCTGGGAAATAGAAGCAGATATGAAAAGACTGAATAACAACTTGAAAGAACTGGGAAGGATTGCCCATAACAGGATTGGATGGAGAATGCTGGTGAGCAGCCTATGCTCCTCCACGAGGGGTAACAGGCGTAAGTAATTAAATAAGGCAAATATGCCAATAAGAGAATGATCAATTACAAATCTAAACATCAATGAAAAGATTTAAACAACCAATACTTACTTGATTCTCTCTATCCAATGATGATCGTGTGAATAAACTTCCATTATTCAATATATAAAATGGTAAATGATAATCAGTAACTAATTGAGTAGTATTATTCCTCAATTGAGACTCTACGATTTCATTGAACCATTTATCAGAAAATAATAATAATTTCAATGTTATTTCACTATTTAATCCTTCATCTTTATCAATGACTTTTAGATTACCAATCCATGTATTGGATGGTTGATTTTCTTCAATGGCAAATTGTCTTGGACCATGAAATTCCGGTGCATTATCATTTACATCTAATATATGAATCATGAGTTGTGTTGTTGATGTATGATGTATTATATTATTGTTGGATAATAAATAAAATTGATTGTTTAGTGGTTGGTAACCCCCATCAATTGCTAGAATTGTTAACTGTGTAAAAAAATCATCAAAGGGGAAACGTTTAGTTTCAATGCATTATAGAGACCATAAATAAGCGTGTGTACAGAAGGGTATAATGATAAACCTTTCGTAGATACAAAAAATACATGACTGTAAACATATACTTCTATCTGTTACAAATTTTATCGATTTTCACACCTTAATTAAAGCATTATCTCATTTATATCAAATAATTACGTGCTTACTTACTTATCCTGTTACCCTTCGTGGAGGAGCACAGGCCACCCAACGGCATTCTTCACCCGATCCTGTTATGGGCAATCCTTCCCACTTCTTTTCAGTCAACATTCATCCTTTTCATATCTGCTTTTATTTCCCGGAGTAATGTGTTCTTTGGCCTTCCTCTTTTCCACTTCCCTTCCGGATTCCAGTTTAGGGATTGCCTCGTGATACAGTTTGGTGATTTCCACAATGTATGTTCTATCCACTTCCAACGTCTTTTCCTAATTTCCTCTTCAGATGGAAGCTGGTGTCCTCTCTCATAAAACGCTGTTGCTGATAGTATCCGACCAATGGATGTTGAGTATTTCGCGTAAACAACTGTTTATAAATACTTGTACCTTCTTGACGATGGATTTAGTAGTAGTTTTCCACGTTTCAGCTCCATATAGTAGGACTGCCTTGACGTTCGTATTGAAGATTCTCATTTTGAAGTTAGTTGACAGTTGTTTTGAGTTCCATATGTTCTTCAATTGTAGAAATGGTCCCCTTGCTTTGCCAATACTCACCTTTAGATCTGCATCAGATCCTCCTTGTTTATCAACGATGCTTTCCAGGTACGTGAATGTTTCCACCTCTTCCAGAGTTTCTCCATCATGTAACCGACTAATATTTTTTTACTGTAGTTATGTAACGTTTCATTTTTATCAAAACTGTTATTAACTATTTGACACATTGTATGTTAATTTATCGTGTATGTTCCTTTCTTTTTCATTGTGTTTTTTCCGTAACAATCTTAGCTACACGTATCATGCCATGGCTTGGTTCTTTTCTTTATATGATCATTAGTTCCAGTTCTATTTTACCTCATTATCTCAAATAACACAACTCTTTGTAAGTTCAATCAATTTGTCAATGATGAGGTGATTCAAATTCATTAGATTATTTATTGAAAATTTATATTTGTCTGTTAAAAGTTCTGTTCTGATCATAATCATCATGTGCTTGCTAGTGACTGACTTCAAGATGATTTCCTAGAGTTCTAGTAAGAAGCCATGACCAATGGAGTCCAATCTGTGTCAGGTAAAGATAGGTATCTACCTCATACAACGGATGAATGATTGCTCAGCCAATCATGGATCGATGTAAGTTAGACATTAACACTGTTGGATGTCAGATAAGTGATCTACAAGTTAAGCGTTCGCGTGTGAGACCGAAGGTCCTGGCTTGGAATCCCACGTACGGAAGGATGGATGCGCACCGCTAAGGTGCATCCCACTAGGACGAAACTGCCATCCAGTGCTTCCAGGTTTTCCATTGTGGTCCAACTTAAATTGACTCATGAATTCAACTATTAAAATGCTATTTTACTAAAGATTTTAATTGTAAACAATCACATTCATCACTCTGACAAATTAGTGAATCACGAGCCATCTCACTGAGCTTCAGATTTTCTTTTGTTTAGTTAGCACATTAGTTTGTAGAGTTGTCTTGGATAAACTACTGTTCCTGATCACTTTAATATGAAATGTATCATTACTTTAAACTTGCAGTGAAACCAAAAAGAACCCAATTTGAGGTAAATCTTTATAAATAGCTTACTTTAAATGTTGATTGTGCTTCACGATCTATTTCAACTGAATTAAGAATCCAACCAGTTATTGGATCTATTTTAAAATAAGGTGTATTAAGTTCATTCATTTGTAAACTGTAGTAAATTTGTGCGTTTTCTCCTATATCCTTATCTGTAGCATGCATCTAATAATAAAAGAATGCGTGGGTACATTGTTGAATATCTGTTGTTGGGAAACCATTTCAAATAATGAATAAGCATAATTTAATAGTTTATCCCTCCAGGGTATATTCATATTATGCAATAGAACTGATTGCATAATATATAGCTGTACTTACCAATTTACATATATGTGACCACAAATATATGGGCTGGAGTATAATTTATTTTCAAGTTATCTGATTAGGTAACAAAATAAATTTAACTTATTACTAAGTTCAAATAAAAATACACCCCACTATGCAAGCAAGTGGCTATCATGACTCAGTAGCTGAGTGGATAATGTGATGGCGTTTAAAGCGAAAGGTACTGGGTTCGTGTCCCAGAGTGAACATCAACTATGAGATGCAGGTAAATCCAGTTGATTAGTCGCATATAGGACGAAGTGTCGCGCGTCCTGGATTTCACTATTAGCCACTATGCATCTTTGCTTATAAGGTAACAAAATACTTGTAATAATAAATAAAATCAGACGACCAAATAAAAGCAGCTGTCAAATACTTATCGTGCTCTGTTAATGAACACATTAGCTAAAACAGATCATTAGATTAACTTTAACTCAATTTTTGCGTTTTTTTGTATAAAATTTGCCTAATATAAATACTTAAGCTTATTGAAAGCTGAATCATACAAAAGTTCAAATCTTCTTATATTCAAAAACAATTCGCCATAACAGTAAACTTATCCTTTGAAATTGGATTTATTATCCAGAGTAGGTAATGGCCCATATTAACTTTTCACTTTGTTATTCTTATATCTTCCAATCTGTCTAATGCATGAACAACAATAATAATTGAAGACAATCGACTGATATTTGCAGAAGGAACAGTCAAGATTGAGACAATTGATTAATAGTTTGCAAATTAATTATTTACAGTATGATTCTCAGATTTTACTAAAATGTTCTGTACAATCGATTGTCTCCATGTATATTCTGGATCACTATATTAGAACTGTAAACACGATATTGGCAATCCTATAGTCTTTGTGAAAGATAAAGTTTAAAGGTAAATTGTCCTTGATCCGACTATAGCTTTAACATGAACTCTGGGATTGCCAGTATTGGGTTGACAGTTCGAGTAATAAATCTGTATGGTACCTTGGATAAAATAGTATGAGATTGAAATTTACTTAGTATTGTTTGTTTGGATCTTCCCATTGATGTTTTCTGGACTGCAACCGGTCAGTCTCTAATTGGCATATGTGTATACTATGCGTATTGTCTCAATATAGCCTTAACTCACAAGCATGGTAAGCAAACATGGATAGTGGCTAGCAGTGGAATCCAGAATGCTCGACACTTCGTCCTGTTTGGGACTCGTCAGCTGGATGTACCTGCATTTCAGAGTTGATGTTCACTCTGGGACTCGAACCCAGTAACTTTCGCTTCAATGGGAAGATCTAAACAAACAATACTAAGTAAATTTCAACTTCACCGCATTGCACAAGCAAGTGACTATCAGAACTCACTAGCTAAGTGGATAACGCAATTGCGTTTGAAGCGAAATGTACTGGATCCGAGTCACATAATGAACATCAACTCTGAGATGCAGGTACATCCAGTTGACGAGTCTCAAATAGGACGAAACGAGCGTTCTGTATTCCACTACTAGCTACTATCCATCTTTGCTTACCATAGTATGAGATTGTTTATCATTCAATGATTCATAATGTAGATAATTTTTCAATGTCTATAGAATAACATTAAACAATCCCTTACTTGAATAATTTTAGTGTTTCTAGGTGAGTTTTCTTTAAATGTAACCTTATACAATGGTTTATCAAATATTGGTTCATTATCATTTTCATCTAATATTTGTAAGGTAATAGTCATTGTAGCTGTTAGACTAGTTAATAATGGCATTGATGTCATTGATGATACATGTTTAGGGTAATCTGTTGATAAATATTTTGTTGAATAGGATGATACATGGGAATTCGAGAAGGAATCGATAATTCCATCCCAGCAATGTAAAATAGCCAGATATTTATCTGTACTATTTTCACGATCATATTTATTTTGGCTATATAATGTAAAACGTTGATAAACATGAGTTTCAGTATTTGATAATGATGACGATGATAATGACGATGACGGTGTTGATGATACCGTTGAGAATATTGTAGAATGATAATCATTATGATTTTGTGACAATGTTTGTTCATTTAAATCAAATGATTCTTGTACAAATAGAATAGGTTGATTTCTTATTAAATGTGATGGTTCTTCACAATATACTTGACCATTAACTTGAGGACTATCCCGATCAATAATGAGAAGCTATTGTGATAAAGTAGATAAAAGAATAATAGCTTGTTATATGATATTCAAATAAAACTAAATAAATCCAGAAGGGGTTTTGTGGAGATTTCAGTAATTTTATAGTTGAAATCATAAGTCAATTGAAGCTAGACTACCATGGAAAATCTGGAAACACTGGAAGGTCGTTTCGTCCTACTATGAGACTCCTTAGCAGTGCGCGTCCACGATCCCGCTTTGCGAGATTCGAACCCAGGACCTACCAGTTTCGCAAGCGAGCACTTAACTGATAGACCACTGAGCCGGCCTGTATCCAACGGTGTTAATGTCTAACTTCAACCAATCCACGATTTTTGAGCAACCGTTCACCAATTGTCTTCAGTGAGTTAATATCTCTACAACAGACGTGGTTGAACTCCACTGGTCACTACTTCCCACTAGAACTCCAGGAATTATCTCTTGAAGTCAGTCACTAGTGAGCATATGATTATAGATCAGAAGAGGTTTTGTGGAGAATTTTGTATTTTCATATTTGAAATCATGAGTCAATTGATCATGTATATTTGTAATTTTTCTTATTAAAACAGGATCAATTAAAGAAACAATGATTTATGCACCACGGATCGGTATTCAATTATCTCTATGGTTCTTATTAAAAACTCCGCCTGTAGCTCTTCTAGAGTTACTGCCGATCCGAAGCCCACACAAAGGAGGAGGGTTGGGCATGAAGTTAGCGACCCCATCCCGTAGAAAATCTAACTCGCTAAAAAACGCTAACCAGAAAACATAATCCAAACCATTTAAACTCTGCCCTCCGAGTTGAAGGAATAATTATGACGTCTCATGATGAAAGCCGAAATTCTTCGGAAGTCACGAGACCGATGCACCTTCTAACAACCAGAGTAACACTCTTTATAGGTACATGGAACGTCCGGACAATGTGGGAGACAGGAAAAACTTGCCAAATAGCAATAGAAATGAGGAGATACAACTCGGCAGCACTCGGAATCAGCGAAACCCATTGGACACAAACTGGACAACAAAGGCTAGGTACAGGAGAGATGCTGCTGTACTCCGGTCACGAAGGGGAAAATGCTTCACACACTCAGGGGGTTGCTCTAATTCTGTCCAAAGAAGCACAAAATGCACTTGTGGGATGGGAATCTCATGGACCCAGGATAATCAAAGCATCATTCAGAACAAAGAAGCAAGGGATCACAATGAACGTTATCCAATGTTATGCACCCACCAATGATAGCAACGACGATGATAAAGACCAGTTCTATGAAATACTGCAATCAATTATAGCAAAGTGCTCACGAAAGAACCTCACAATCCTGATGGGAGATTTAAATGCTAAAGTTGGAGTGGACAACACAGGATATGAAGATATAATTGGACGACATGGACTAAGAGAGAGAAATGAAAATGGGGAGAGACTTGCAAACCTATGTGCATTCAACAAATTGGTTATAGGCGGCACAATATTCCCACACAAACGCATACACAAAGCTACATGGATCTCACCGGACCACACCACAGGGAACCAGATAGATCACATCTGTATCAACAAAAAATTCCGAAGATCAATGGAATATGTGAGAACCCGAAGAGGAGCTGACATAGCTTCAGATCACCACCTGGTTGTGGCCAAGATGAGACTGAAGCTAAAGAAAGACTGGACAACTGGACAAGCAACACTACAAAGGTTTAATACAGCCTTCCTTCGAGATACTGACAAGCTCCATGAATTCAAGATAACTCTCAACAACAGGTTCCAAGCTCTACAGGATCTACTGAAAGAACAAGAAGCTACTTTGGAGGAAAACTGGAAAGGGATAAAAGAAGCACTAACTTCAACGTTTCAGGAGGTTCTTGGTCCTAAGAAGCATCATCACAAGGAATGGATACGAAAGCCGTCGTTCACTAATCAACGTGGTGATATGAGAAACAAACTCCATACATTGGTTCATTTAACGAATTTTAATAATACTGAAATAACAACTTTGGTAGAACAATTAGTAGGCTACTTACACTTCTAATCTGGTTAGTGTGACATTGAGATATGATAATAACATTGAGTAACGGGTAATCATGACATAAGGCATAAGAACAACACTGAATATATGTATATGCTTAAAGATAGAATTCCAAAACATTGAAGCTGTGAGGCAGCATTTCTATGGAATCGAGGGTCTGATAGGATACATTGTATGATAATTATCGATGATTTGAAGAGTTTACGCAAGCTTCAAATAACTTGAAATCACACAGAAGACAAACAACTAAGAGGTAGTAATTGTCCCGACTTTTTAATTAATAAGATTGGTTACGTAATAATCACCAAAGTTTTAAAGAGTTTACTTACCTATGGAGAATCGGGTGAGTGAAAAACACGTTACTAAGAGGATGGCTTTAGCTTATATGGAATAACAATAATTTTAGAGAAGATTGCATTACAGGATAAACACAATAAGAAAATAATAATAGTATTGTGGTGTGGTCTACTTATATCCACACAAGTAGTATATGGTGATGGTCAGACATAGAATGTATTTTGGCAGAAGATCGATAAGGAACGAACAGGAATGAAGCACGATTAGTACGAAAATGAATGAACAATAAAATCAGAGAAGATGGACTGATACGTACGGAAGGAACAGTGAAGATTGAGACAATTGATTGTTATTTTGGAAATTAACTGTTTACTGTGTGGTTATCAGAATTTAGTGAGATAGTCTGTAGTTTGTGCTTAAGTACATTCAAATGTCCCCACCCGTGTTCTTGTTCACTACAGTATTAATTCTGATGATAACGATGATAGTAATGGCAGATGATATTAATAAGAAAATTATGAATTCGCTTAAGTTGTAATAAATTGATGACTAGTATAGTTGATACGTGGAGATTGCAGCATTTTCACAGTACATATCACGAACTAATCTTAGCTAGATCCTTATTAAAAACCTAATAGCAATGAACATCTGTCTTATCCTAATGTAATACTCCACAACAGTAGGCATTCAATATCACACAAGGAAGAACTAAACGCAGGAGTTTTGGTTTCATGAGAGGAAGCTTAACCGCTAGATCACTGAATCCACATCCAACTGTATTAATGTCTAAATTTTAACTAATTCACGGTATTCTGCCATTCTTATTTATTACCTGGGTAACTGTGGATAACTTTCCTATATCCAAAACAGATTGAACTTCATTGATCATGACTTCTCACTACAACTCTAGGAGTTACATCTTTAAGCTAGTTACCAATGAACAAATGATTTTTACTAGTATGGAGGATTTATGGAAACTAACTAGTTCTTCTAGGTTTTCAATGATAATCTGCCTGAGACTGATTCATGATTTAAGCTTTGAAAATTGGTTATTGTCTCACTCTGGATGCATAATCACTACTACTTCGTCAGAATGAATAGAAGTAGAGTTAGTTTGTCAGATGAAAGCCTCGAAGGTTCAGGAGGTTTCACTTATGTGATTGGTTTCTTTAGTTCATCAATTCAAGTTTTAAATATTTATCTCAGTAGGAACTGATTTATACACATAAAGATTTTATTGAAAGATAAAACCACAATATGACTAAATAGAAAAGTGAATAGAAGTGAAAAGCTTGAAATGAATTCAGCGGATATCTTTCTTTCTAAGTAGAGGGTTCTTGAAAAGGATATATAAGATAAAAACTTAGATTTCATCTAAGAAATTCTAATTAAAAGAAAAAGAACTATAATAATATTTCTTATCTACATGACGTACCAGTCATTCCAATAAATTTGGTTGATTTGTTCATTATGCAAAGTTTTGATTAAAGTACATTGGATTACATAACTTTCAAACTATGTATATTACATACTACGTTTACTTTTAAACTATGAATGTGTTTCATAAAGTATATATATTAGCTTGAGAAAGATAGATAGTGGCTAGCAGTGGAATCTAAGACGAGTGTTTTGTCCTATTTGGGACTCGTCAGCTGGATGTAGCTGAATCTCGGAGTTAACGATCACTTTGGGACTCGAACCATTATCGTTCGCTTCAAACGTCATCTCATTATTCACTTAGTTACTGAGTTCTGATAGAATGAACATCAACCATGAGATGCAGCTGCATTCAGCTGACGAGTTCCAAATAGGAGAAAACTCGCATCCGGGATTACAACACTAGCCACTATCCACCTATGCCTATAATGCTTATGAATTAAGGCTATATCGAGACAATATGCAAAGTATGTACATATATCAATAAGTGACTGACCAATTGCAGTCCTAAACATGAATGGGAAGATTCAAACAAACAATACTTAGTAAATTTAAACTTCGCCGCATTGCATAAGCAAGTGGCTATCAGGACTCAGTAGCGAAGTGGATTGCGCGATGGCGTTTGAAGCGAAAGGTACTGGGTTCGAGTCCCAGAGTGAACATCAACTCTGAGATGTAGGTACATCCAACTGACGAGTCTCAAATAGGACGAAGTGTCGCGCGTCCTCGATTCCACTGCTAGTCACTATCCATTTATGCTTATGAATGGGAAGATTCAACTAAACAATACCAAGCGAATTTATACACATAATCTATTTTAATAATGAGATAATTCATTAACTTACATGACCAATGAATGTTTTCTCTGGTTGATTTTCTTTTATGAATAAGATAGATGGATTTAATAAAAATTCTGGTGGTTCATCATTTACATCTAAAATTTTTATAACAAGTTGAGTGAAAGCATCAAATTCTCCATCATTAGCACGTATTGTATAACTATATAAATTACATTGTTCATAATCTAATTGTTCTTTAATTATAATTTGTCCATTGGATTGAATTAAAAATTTCGATGTAAGATTTGAATCAACATTATTTTCCATTGAATATGTAATTGTCGAATTGGCATCTTCATCAGTAGCAATTAACTGAAAGTAACCAAACAAAATAAAGGATTGATTACTGACAAATTACACTGGATGACCATTTTGTCTTAGTTGGGAGATATGAACTCACTGAAGACATTAATGAAATGGTTGATCAACTTCGTGGATTGATTGAAGTTAGACATTAACACCGTTGGATGCCTGCCGGCTCAGTGGTCTATCGGGTAAGTGCTCTGGAGCGAGACTGGTAGGTCCTGGGTTCGAATCTCTCGAGGCGGGATTGTGGATGCACACTGCTGAGGAATTCCACAATAGAACGAAACGGCCGTCCAGTGCTTCCATGTTTTCCATGGTGATCTAGCTTCAAGTGACTCATGATTTCAACTAAATATAAAAATTACTAAAAATCTCCACAAACAACGCCCTAATATTACATTTGTTTAGTATTATGAGACTACTTAAATTCTGTCAATCAAGCTTCAACGTGGCTACTAGTCTAAGTGCATTAACAATCCATGTACTATGTCAACATGTTTTGTGATTGAAAGTTACTTACTTATGCCTGTTACCCCTCTTCGAGGAGCATAGGCATCCCACCAGCATTCACCATCCAACTCTGTCCCGGACAGGCCTTTCCAGTTTTTTCCAGTTAACAGTCATCCATTTCATATTTGCTTCTATTTCCCAGAGTAATGTGTTCTTTGGCCTTCCTCGTTTCTGCTTCCCATCATGATTCCATGTTAGGGATTGCCTCGTGATTCACATTGGTGATTTCCTTAATGTATGTCCTATCCACTTCCAACGTCTTTTCCTAATTTCCTCTTCAGATGGAAGCTGGTTTATCCTGTCCCACAGAAGGCTGTAGCTGATAGTATCCGGTCAGTGAATGTTGAGTATTTTGCGTAAACAACTATTCATAAATACTTATAGTTTCTCGACTATGGATGAAGTAGTTTTCCACGTTTCAGCTCCATACAGAAGGACTTCCTTGACGTCCGTATTGAAGATTCTTACTTTGAAGTTAGTTGAGAATAGTTTTGAGTTTATTCGCCTTTGCATCTGCATCCGATCCTCCTTGTTTATCAATTATGCTTCCCAGGTACGTGAATGTTTCCACCTCTTCTAGTGGTTAGCTTAAAACCTTTAACATATATTTCATATCAACTGATATTATCTAATATTATATTGTAGTGCACTCGGTGTCAGGTGATTTAGACTAGCAGTCACTCTGTAACATAATCAATAGGATTATATCAGCACTAAAAGATTAGATAAATGTGACGATGGTCACTAATCAATGATCAATCTGTTTCAAATATCTCAGTATTCTAGGTGATCAGTTGAGTTCTCGATAGCTTAATGGTAAAATATTGGATTGCGAAGATGAGAGATGGGGATAAAATCCTACGGGAAGCATTAGTTGATCAGTATTAGCTGCCACAAAAAGATGATCCAGGATTTCCTGTAGACTATCTCTCACCAAATAAAATATATATGTTCATTTCTAGGAGCTTTATAAAACAAAATAGTTACAGTTGGTGTGAAACAACTGATATGAAACTGTTAGACATTGGCGGATTAAATAGTGTTATCTGTAACAATAATACAATCTCAGGAATCAGATTTCTAGCACCAATAGGGTTGGGTAACTTTGGACTGTGTCGGAGTATAACCTAAATAGGTAAATATGACCAATGATTCGAGGTTACCGTATTCGATGTGAAAAATGAAGGTTTTTGTGGTAATTTCACGAAGTGCTAACATCGGAGCAATGTATTTCAGCTTTTGACCTGGTTTAAAATACATTTGTATTGTGTTTTTCGATCTTCTAATTGATGTTTAAGAATGTGGTTAATCAGTCTCTTTTAGAATGTGTGCGTCGTGTGTGGATTGCTCTTAGCACCTTGGACACGAAAACGTCAACAGGACCGGATGAACTATACCCCTAAATCTTGAGGCGAATTGAACAATATATTGCAGCCCCACTCACTGTGATATTCAAAAAGTTACTTGACCAATGTGTGTTACCTACGGGCTGGAAGGATACCATCGTCACTCCAATACATAAAACAGGACTAAGACAACTTCCATCGAACTACAGACCCGTCAGCCTCACCACTATAGTAGTTAAAGTACTGAAAAGAATAGTCAAAAAGACCATAATGATATTTGTGGGAATCAACAACTTGTTAAACAGTGAACAACATGGTTTCAGAAAATATTTATCTTACACAATAAGCCTCTTCGTAACAAGGGAGCGATGGATAGAGGCTCTAGACAATAGAAAATCAGTGGATGTTGTCTACATAGATTTTAGCAAAACATTTGACAAGGTGCCAACGAATAGACTGCTATTGAAGCTAGAAAATCTTGACATTACCGGACCTCTCCCAAAATGGTTTAATGATTTCCTAGTAGGTCATAGACAGAAAGTAAAAGTAAATTCGAAGTGCTCCGCTTGGAGACCAGTACTTAATGACTATCGCGAGGTTCTGTCCTAGGTCCTTTACATTTTCTACTGTATGTAAATGATCTCCCAAGTATAGTTAAGTCCTCAATGCTACTATACGCTGATAGTGTAAGAATCTGAGGCAAAATAACAGAAGGCGGCAGATGCATGCGCACTTCAAACAGACTTAAATATTGTGATTAGCTGGTCTAAGGAGTGGCTGATGCTTTATAATGGATATTCACCAAATTAGATAATACCATGTTCACTACAGTATATGCAGCCTTAGTGAGAACTAGGCTTGAAAACTGCGTCCAGGCTGCAAGCCCCTGTTTAAAAGATGACTTGTATATCCTGGAAAACGCACAGAAGACAACTACCCGTTCAATTCTAGAACTCTGGGGTTTACTATACGAAGAAAGGCTTGAAAAGCTAGACCTCGTTACTCTGTCCTAACTCAGATTAAGAGGTGGTCTGATTTTGATGTAAAGAATACTACGAAATGATTTTGGACCTGTTATATCCTTTCTTTTTCTTCCTACTAGATCAGGACATCTCAGAAGACACAGAGAGGGAGTAGAAAAGCCAAAAACGAACAAAATACCCGTGGCATACAGGATTTCACACTAAGTCATCAATTCTTGGAACCTGTTACTCGAAGCATTTTCAGCCTGCACCATCAATTGACTGATTCAATCTTCTTAACCTTTTACCGCCATGCATTTCACTATCTATTGATGATACATACTACTTATATCTGTCCACATCAGTAGCACACACCACAGTTGGAAGTTTACAATATGAGTGATAAGTGATATAAATGTATAGTTTGTCTCTTTTCAGACTAGCCAAATTGTAACAGTTATAAATAATTTGGATTATTAAGTGATTTCATAACGTACCAAGCAAATCGATCTCTAAGATAAAACCTATTTGGTTAATTGAAGCTGTAGTTATAAGATGTTGTCATTTCCAGTTATTTTCTATTTTACATTAAGACACACTTAAGGTCTTGAAATTTATCTAAGAATTCTATTTCTAATCAATTTTTACAATAAAACAATGTGTAAATAACGATTAATGACAAAACCATTCTCATTATTATTACCACAACTATCATCAAAAAGGTACAAGTAATTATAGACGTAAGATACTGAATGTCCGTTGACCGGATACCATCAGCAACAGCCTACTGTGAGAGAGGACATGCCAGCTGTCATTCAACGAGGAGATTAGGAAAAGCCGTTGGATAAGGATAAGACACATATTGAAGACATCATCAAACTGTATTATGAAGCAAGCGCTAACTTTGAATCCTAAAGGAAGACGGAAGAGTAGAAGGCCAAAGAACACATTGAGTCGAGAATTGGAAGCGAATGTGAAAAGGATGATAAGAAAATGAAAACAAGTGGAAAGGATTGTAGAGGACATAGCTGAATGGAGAATGCTGTTGGGTGGCCTATGCTTCTCTATGAGGGGTAACAGGATTATGCAAGTAAGTAATTATTATTATTATTTTGAGTCGTACAAATAAACAAGTAACAACGAATTACATAGAGAAAGAACGTTGAAGAATCTCTAAAGCAAATAAAACAACTGTTCAGTATTATATGATTTTTTGAAATTCAATGTCAAAAATAACCTTTAAATGTAGCTTATCTTGACGAATTGATCAAATTGTAATTCTGTTAAAAATAAGTAGGCAGTGGCTAACTGAAGACAATAATAGACGGTGGCACAATTGCGTGGATTGGTTGAAGTTAAACATTAACATCGTTAGATGCCAGTTCAGTGGTCTAGCGATTAAGTGTTTGCGCGAGATCAACGTTCCTGTATTATTATCATTATTATTATTATTATTATTATTATTATTATTATTATTAGCTCTATTCAATATTATATTTTTGGTACAATATAGAATACTCAGCGCAATGTATTTCAACAAATTTCCGTTACTTACTTTTCGATCGATCCTGACGATAAATAATGAGAGATCACCAAGTAGATGTTAGCAGTTCAGTCAATGGACATCTGAATAATGTACATTCTTTTCCCTATATATTGCCAACAACCACAATATCTCTCATTGGGCCTTTGTAACTTTTACAACGAAAATTGGTACACTTTTCAGAAACGCACCTGAATAGGTTATGCAATTAAAACTCATAATGATGTATTAAAACGAATAAAATTAGATAATTTGTTAAAATATCTAGATACCAGAAACAGGTAGCCCAGATGTTCAAGCAGGCCGCCTTTATTATGGGATCGTAGATGTGCCATGCTGAGGAGTCCTATACTATGACGAAACGGTCATCCAGTGCTTTCAGGTTTTCCTTAGTGGTTTAGTTTCAATCAACTTATGAATTGAACCACTAAAAGTAAACTTGTTGCTAATGCTTTTCTGAATTTCTTCTTATTTACTTTTCAATTGAACTATAATATTTTGATGGCCTATAGTCTTATTTATAAGTAGTATAATTCAATTTACAAAATAATTAAGTTTTCACAGCTTATTGAATTTTCTAAAAGAAACAAAAATTATTCTTAGTTATTATTTAATTATATTTCAAAAGGATCTTTATTATAAAGG